GCCTCGAGTAGAGATATGGGCCGCGGATTAAGCCTCGAGTTGATACAGGAGATGGGAGGGACATCTCACTTCGTGATCTTTGTTACATACTAGAGCTACAGACCAATGAGGCTGCTGTAATCGGATTTTAAGACACCATCTACATTCCCGTCGACGTTGACGTCCTAAATTTCATGTTGCTCATTCTTATTGTGGTGGGGCAACAATGCTAATCTCCCTTGCCTGCTCAGGTATACGTTGAAAAATCGGTGGCTGGGGAAGCACGCAGGGCACGGCAGGGACAGAGACGTCGCTGATACCTTTCAGAATGACCATATCAGATTGCCATCGAGTTTGGTAGCGGACAAGGATAGCGGCGACACCCTATAGGGTGACCGCAATAGGTTTTCCGCTGAGGGTTGGTAGCGGACAAGGATAGCGGCGACACCCTATAGGGTGACCGCAATAGGTTTTCCGCTGAGGTTTGGCAGCGAACAAGGATAGCGGCGACACCCTATAGGGTGACCGCAGTAGGTTTTTGAGGTTTGGCAGCGAACAAGGATGGCGGCGACACGTTTTCGTGCGATCCACCCAACGTCGAAAAATGGATACGACGTCCCGAGCTAGCTGCAGGTAAGAGAGGTTGGCTTAGTCGGATTGAGTTGGCACACCTAATCTGGCACCCAAGGCGCGTGACTTGGTGTGTAGTGTTCCCCGCACTTTCAATTTTTGAACCAAAAACATCTCACTTCTCGTTGCTTGAGTGTTCGGTGATTGCAGCCATGGAAAACCGCTCACTCGGTGAGAAGCTCTGCCTGTGGCAGAAGGATTGGGCAAACGTGCCGATGCCCACACAGGCAATGAACGAATTATACAATATAATGCATTCCTCGCTTACTGACGCCACAAAACAAAGGACAAATACTAGTACCTGCTTCACTTGTGTCAGGGCGAAGAAAAAGGTATGTCGGATGTGACGAGACAGGTATCAAGTATGCTGAAAGGTCTCAAGTGCCAATACTTTAGTGAAAAGCAACATTGTGAGCGGTGCGACGATATGCCAAGTTTGTGCTTCAAGTATCGGCTTAGTGATGCCGTTATCTACAACAAATGTATGTTCTATGCGCGTCACTGTTATAATCCCAATTGATCTGACGTTGTGCAGGGACGCACGACCTTTACCAAGGTAGGCGTCGATTCATGAATATCCAGCGCGAATATATCGAGCCCATTGGTCTATCCATCCGACATTTCGAAGACGGACCCTTCCTGCAAGTTGTTGCTATGCCTTTCCAAACACCAGATGAGACAGCGATGGTCTCTTACAAAAAGTCCTCTGAGCATTGGGATACCTTCACTTCCAAACCAGTTGCACTTGGTCATATCGATCGGGGATTTTTCGATAAATATCTTGAGAAATGCATCAAGCATTTCCTTCTTCGTTACGAGAAGCACCCCGTAATCGAACAGCTCCTCCGCCAGAAAGAGCAACTATGCGTAAAAGCAACCTACCTGTTCGGCATGTTAGGGCTGTTGATGCGAGGCTGGTATGAAGACTGTGTTCCAGCTCCTGAAGTACTTGCGAGCCAGATGGACTCTCTTCTAGAGTTCAAAATTGCGACTTTGGAAACAGCCCTCCTTAATAAGCTTCAAGACAACCTGAGCCTGAACAATACCATGAGCAACAGCCTCGTGATGTTGGCGATTCTGGTGCTATTAGAGAGAGATCTATGGCGACTCATGCATTGGGCGTTATATGGAAACAATGTAAGCTCATTCTATCCTGATCCGTTGCTTTTAACTCACTGCATAGGCGCCTGACTGGAAACACCCAACACGTGCACCTGATCTCATGAGAGCGACACTACAGCAGGCCCAAGCAATACTCGGATTGTTCCATAGTGTTGGGCAATGGCCTTTTGATACATCATCCTTTCGTATGTTTGATTTACGGTACTTACTCGTGAGTGTAACTAACACCTTGGTAACAGACCGGCCTGTTAGATACGACCCTCTTGATTCGACCAGTCTTGATAATAGCCTCTTATGTGAAGCATTTGACGTGAAGAAAACACCAGAAAAGGCCGGCGAAGTGATAGCATCACTGACTTACGACAATTTTATCCAGTCATATAGCCCTACGGTCGATGAACAAAGCTCAGATCTAGGTGGTCAATATATTGAGTTGTCAAGCAACATTAGTATGGACATAGCCTCGGGATTTCATTTTGTATCGCAGGCTGATAGTTTAAGGTGGTTGGAGGCATATCAGTGACGAATATTCTTGGTTATGTGGAGTTACCAACCAGTCCGAACTACTAGTAGTTACTGTTCTGCTATTCATTGCATAGGTGCCATCTGCAATGCGTTCTTCAGTCCTTTATCACGGGATTCATGTTTCAAGGTCAAGGTATGACATGTCAAAACCCGTGTTTGTGAGGTTGGGAACCTGCGTCCTTTGTTAAGATAAAATGATGAATCGCTTGCGTTCCGATCCGCAGGACCGGCCACCCGTTGATGGGGAGTCCCATCCGATGCGATACTTAGTTTACTACAATGTACTGGCAGACAAGCCGGTCTAATTCTACACGCCGCTTTTATGAGGTGGAAGCTTCCGTGATTTCCAAAACGATTGAACCAGTTCCGTTCATGGCGTGACAAGAAACCCCACACAAGCCTACGTCATCCTGTCAAAATATAACTTTATCATTCGTTCATCAATCTGTATCCACTCGTCGGTAACATGTCGGTTAAGAACTTGAGAACTTAGAGAATTCCAACAGTTACCCCGCAGATGAATCAAGCTGGCCTTTCGCATCGCCTCACCTCAATTTCTTCTTAATCTTGTCGCAACATCACAAGATGGGCTTGACATTTATGGATGAGCCCGAGGAGCTCCGTCTATATCTCGAAAATTTGAACAAAACTCCTCGAAGGGGCTGGCTGAAGAGTGGAGTGCCTGGTGATCAATGCGAAACCGTCGCCCAACATACATATCGTATGCTGGAGATCGTGGAAGATTCCGCATCCAGTCGGCCAGATGTAAGAATCATGCATGCGGTATGAGCACACTCACTGATTTTATATTCATAGGTCGATCTCAACCGCGCCCTCCATATAGCCAAATTCCATGATTGCGCTGAAGCTGTCACAGGGGATCACATCCCCGGGGAGATGACTTCAGAACAAAAGCGGGCTGAAGAAGATGAAGCCTACGCTATGTTCTGCTCACTAGATCCCAAAAGGGGCCAGGTTATCCGGGAATCGTGCATCGAGTATCGTGAAGACAGTACGCTCACCGCAAGACTCGTCAAAGATGCCGACAAATTTCAACGTCTTGAGCAGGCGAACATCTATCGCAAAATGTACCCCCATTTGAATTTCGACCGTTTCCAATCAGACGCTAACCTAATTCGCGATCCTGAACTCAAAAAGAAGGCCGATGGCATACTGAAAGAATGGAGATCACAGGCTGTAAAATGTGTCTTGGTCATAGGTGAGTGATTCCGCCATGACTTGAGTGTCTCGCACTAACATATATTTCTAGGGGCGCCGGGTGTTGGCAAAGGAACACAATGCGCGCGAGCTTTGCAGTCGAATATGAACATGAGACACGTGTCGGCTGGCGAGCTGCTTCGAAGTGCAAAGGACGATGACAAATCGCCTCATCATAAAGAGGCCGAAAGGGTTCTCCAAGGGACTACCCCAGCATCTCCAGAGTTAATCACTGCACTTATATATGAGGCAGTTACCTCTCGGGATTATCGTGTTGCTCTATTAGATGGATTTCCATATGATTCTGCACAGTGGGAAGGTTACAAGAAAATCGTATGCATTCCATGACCTACCTGATATCCCAGCTTACCATGTGTAGTTTCCGAATATTTCTGGCGTGATCCATCTCGTCGCCTCGCCCAGTGTATGCAAGAGTCGACTGCTAGGGCGTGCTAAGGACTCGCAGAGAGACGACGATGTCGAAGTGAAGATGGAAAAGAGATTGGAAGGCTACAAAAACCGAGGCGAGGCGATCGCCCTTCAGTTGAAAGGAGAAAGCCAGAATGCATATTACGAGGTACGCCGTGAAATACACGAACCCTGCAATTTGTGATTGGATATACCTGACATGATACCAGATCGATGCCGAACGAGACGAAGAAGATGTCGCTTCCGATTTCCAGAAGTATCTCGATTGTATTCTGCTCAACGCTGCGCCTGCAACGCGTGCGATCGTCGAGAGTTAGAAGAAGCAGGTGGTCATGTTACTATGGGCTACATGCCTGAAGCCCCGATCTATTAACATTTCCTGTTACTGCCTGGACTAGAGACAATTTCCTGTTTCTCTTTTCTGCCTTTTCCAGAACCCAGTGTGGAGATTTTTCATCTGTTCTTTCCGATTTCTTTCTTCTCTCACTTGAACCCATGATAAGCTAGGAGCCGAAAAGACGGGGCGACAACATCATTTATCAATTTTCCCGCTCACTCACATTTTCGTGACACTGGAATGTCCAGCGATCGGGTGAAGGGTCATCACAGTCACAACAACTTAAGACTAGGTCGTTGTTGACTGTGACATTAACTGTTGTGGGGGTTAAGTGAGACGACCCGAAGAGGTCACGATCCTAACCTGGGTTGTAGGCTTTGAACTCCTTGTTTCTACCAACGCTGAGGTCTCATAGTGAAAAATCAAAAGGGTTGGCAAAGCTGTGGGTATATTTGGCGCAAAATCTATGCGCTAAGAGAAAACAGAGAAGTTAAAAGAACTAAGAATCATGCAAAATATTTGAGACCCTCGGATGACTCTATGTGAAGCGCGCACGGAACTGATGAATGGAATTGGCACATCTGTTGATGCTATACCTCGATCTGCCCCGAGCCAAGTTTCTTCGGTACCATTTTAATGCGTGTGAGCGCGGTTTGGCGGCTGATCAAAGCGGCTGGGGTTGATTAGAGAATAGAGTAAATTACGCTAGGTAACACAGTGCCTAAGAAACCGGCGCTGTGTTCAAGACAGATGCGAGTGAAAACACCAGTCACGTCCAGTCCAACCCTGTGTCGCGCATCCCGATCCCTTCACTTTAGTGACCAAGATCAGTTCCGATATCAGCTCAAATAATGTGCCCATTGACGGATAGTCTGGAAAGATGGGAAAAAACGCGGAAGTGGCGGTGAACCCGTGGGAAGACGACGTACCTGTACATCTGGGTGATATAAGTTGGCTTCAGAGGAAAGCTTTTCTCGAGATTGATAGGGTCGGCTCCATGTCTTTCGCTCTACATGACGGCGTCTGCACAGGCCCAAAATGTTGCTCAATCAGCCAACAGCTTGTGCTCGTTGTGCTCGTTGTGCGTGCATGGACCATGGACCAGGGACCAGGGCTGATCAAAGCTAGTGGAATCTGCCAGGGCAGGGGCCCTTGCATAATCGGGTATCACTGTGTGAATATTGAGCCGCGTCGCATGGTGTACGCGGCCACTCCTCCCTGCAACGCCATGGCGCTAACAGGCCGATGCGCTAACCTTGCGCTGCGACGCGGTTCCTCAATCGGGGAGGAAGTTGTCACAGACAGGGAATGGCGACACACCACTAAAAGAATTCTTTTGTTTAATTATAACGTGGGGGTACTTGTGACATACGTGGAGCGAGTTTCGAGGAGCCACCTTTTTCGGGGCTACAAACGTTGTTTTCACGACGTTAGCATGCGGCGCATCAGCCTTTTTTTTGTCCCTGAACACAGAGTGGGCTGATCAACACAGTCTTTGTATATGCACTAGCCAAGCGTGGTAAGCGCCCTACAACGTCAAGCAACCTCCATGGCGCCGCCGGGACTTCCAGACTAGATGCGACATTGCATTGCTTTTCTTTGGGACGAGGGACACGGGATGCTGTAATATTATCAACATTACATGCTCCGTCAATTTCAGACAAGTAACTACCCAAAGGTGAACTCGCTGCGTCTCATGGGCCTCTCAATCCAACAGTCCAACCAGTCAGCTCGATCTGACTTCCTTGCCGGGCTGAATCACCGGCAACTGAACCGGTTCTGTTCGTTGACCCACCACCACCACCTAGGCATGAAATGCTTTCCCGAAACATCCCGCCTTGACGACCGCCCATCGCACTGTTCACCATAGACGCTGCGTCTCGAAACCACTTGTTTGCGAACTCCCTGACAAACTCCTTTAAGCTTGGTACTGAACTGTAGGCGATGACGAGGTTGGCTTCAATGACATAGCACAGTATGACTGGGGCCGGTACAAACGTCGTGCCAGTGTCTTCGTGTCTAGTAGCTAAGATAGCAAGCCGAGCCACAGCAGGAATCGGTAGAAGTATGCCACTGCTGAGTTGTGCAAGGATAACCGCTTTGATCTTCAACGACTGTTGGAGCGGAAAGCAGAGGGTCAACATGACAACCATGACCGTGACATCTGCCACAATCCCGGTGACAGCTTGTAATATGTGGAATCGATAGCGATCAATACATTGAGCTTCTCCAGACGGTCGAAGGTTCCACGCCGCGTCGATTGTCTTGCAAGCAAACAGAAGGCCGAACCATGCAGCTATGGAGCTGATGACCACCAAACCGCCTGCTAAGCGGATAACATTTTGAGCCAACTCGCTGGTCTGAAGTACCCGGCAGTAGGCAATGGAGATCTCTAACCTTGCGACAGCGGTTCCTAAGATCAAGAGTAACACAGCAGCGAAAACAAGCTTTGAACAGATTATTAGCATACAACTCCAACATGATATCATGACAGGCAGACATACGGTGTTATTCTGGGTGGCATCTTCAATAGCAATTAGTAATCCGGCAGCCGCCGTAAGTGCGCATGCTGGAAGGATAATACCTTGCATCAGAATCAGTATAGGCTTCTCCATGATATCCGTCCAGGTAGTGGGCCACACTTACAAATCCGAAAGCGTCGTTCACAGCTTTTGCCGTAAACAAGTTGCACAAGAATACAAAAAATAACAAGAAACTGGAAGAAAAGAAAACAGTAGTTCATGTAGATGATTATTGTGTTCTGCGGATCATCGAAATTGACATCATGACTCTCGGATGGTGCCATCAGTCCCTCTGTACCGTTGACCATGATTGGAATGCAGAATAGAGACACACGCAAGGAGCAACTGCTGATATTTGACAGGAAGTGGTGGTAGAATTGCCCGTTTATGACTTCCCAGGCATCGGATTAATGAGGTGCAGTCTTGCCAGCAGCGGCCCTGGGTCTTTATGTCACGAAGCTCGACCCTTATTGATGGGTTTCATTACCTACGTGTAGACAGACAATCGCAAAGCAAACGACCCATTTAATCGACAGTCCCGACATCATTTCCCGTCTTCCTGATTCAGCAGGGTAGAATCATGGCCCACTTGTCAAGACACTATTCTCTTTTCTCTGCAATCACTTTGACAAAGGAAAGTTCGAGCGCGGAATCGCGATCATAGGGCTAGGTCTACTAGCCTAAAACAACAATGCCAGATGGATGATGGACAGGGTCTGCAGAAACGGGTATGTACCCGCGCCGGCCGACCAAAAAGGTGCCCGACGCCCCGCAGCTTTCATCGTGCCAAGACGTGGCACTTCAATCAAGAAAGGAGCATGATCACATTGTATCGGGATGATCTCTAATGAGAAACTTGGCCGGGGTTGAGGGTCGGCCGAGGATATTTCTTGTACCCCTGCGACTCATCCCGGCTGAAGATTCCACCGTTGTAGCGACTTTAAGAAAGCCCACATAGCTTGAGCGTATAACATATACACGGCTTCACCATACTTCCCATGAACCCTTATTCTTCCACATGTCACAAGTTATTCGACCACCCCTCCACCCTCTGCCCAGTGACGGTTGTTTGTTGGGGATACATCAAAGCCACCCGTCACAGGCACCTAGTTCCTGAAGAATTACTTCGAGTTCATCCGACATTGAAAAAAGACAAATCTAGCAACAAAAACAAAAACCTACGAGTTCCGATGGTTGGAACCCCTTCTTTCATTCCCAGGCTTAGGAAGTACCTACACAATAAGAAGGAATGGGGTGGTGTATTCACGCACCAGGCTTCCTACATGACGCGGGAGGGCCTAGAACGATATTGGACAGACTGTTTGGATAGCCCAGCAAAGATTCAGGATTCTTCTTCCAGGGACAACTGTCTGGTCATGATATTTAGCCACCGTATAGATACAAGACGGAAGATACCGGGTTTCCGGTTCTTCTGTTTTTATCGGAAGAAAAAGGGGGCCTAGATGGACGAGGCAAGAATCCAGAAACAGAACAGCGCGGTAGTTGTCACCTACTGGAAAAGCAGGAGAGGCATACGTGAGGAGGAAAGCAAAGAGAAACCTCGCGTCCCAGACCAATATTTCAAGATACTAAGTCACAGGGCGAGCCATGGAAAGACTTTACTAACAGTGCAGTTGGTCGGAAAGTCTCAATTGAAGACTGACGTTGAAGAGCTGGAAGCACAAGAACTGATCAAGCTTTGGAAACGTCAAACCATCAAGTATCTCAGGCAAAATCAGCTCCAAGTTTAAAGTTGGAAAAGGATCATGTGCGGACTGATATTGAGTTTCCGAAAGATGTGTGCTTCACGTTTTCTGATGGTTCAATCTAATGACTATCTTACATATCCATTCCTAATACTCTATGGCCTCGAAGCTGGCCTATATTCTTTGATTATAGCCGGCATCAATTTTTTTGGAATACTGATATGCGGCCGATCAACAATGAGCACAGACATCTGGTCTGCTTCCCAGAGTCTTGTAACTTCTAGCACAAAAAGCCTTCCATTACGGTTCAATTCTGATACCCCAATATCCAGCCGCACTCCGGCGCGCAAGGATCTATAATTCTCCTGACAGTCAAACTGATTTAGAAGCTGGGAGTACTGGTATATCGCAAAGTCATCCAATTCCTTTGACTTCTGCTTCTGCTCATCAATACCGTTTGAGAACCATGAGAAATGTGTCGGGTCTATCTTCGTGGCGGCAAAGTCTTTGGGCTTACCGTCCCATTCAAAACTTGTAAATGCCCGAGCTATGATTTCGCCCTCGCAGATGAAGATTCGATACTCGCCGAATGCAAGCAACGAATCAATATATTCTTGATGGAAATAGATTGGTTCGCTCAAATCAAGTTTGCGAGGACTCGAACCGAGTTCGTAACAAACAAGCTTGTCATCCTTACTCCCTTCTACTACCTTAACATCGCCAGCACCACAGCTCCAGCTTCGCTTCACGACCGTTTTGTCACCGGCTTGACTGGTCAACGTACACTTTCCAATACCCAAACAAGTCTTCGGCCGAAAAGAATACTTCCTATCAGAGTACTGCGCAATCATATCCAATTTGCGTATGTCGCCGATTTTGCAACTTGTCCACTGAGCTTCTGACCAGCTTGGGCACACAGCTAGGCTCCCATGGTTAGCTGCCAATACCTGCAGATGACCATATACCTGGGATATTGACATATCCTTCCAGTCGACGATCGTGTTCGAAAGCAGAATCAGGATGTCTGATGCGTCTTTACTCTGAACATAGTCCAGCAAGGTGCGTTCTCGTATCTGCTCTAGCAACCAAGTCCAAGACTGGAACTCGGCCTCGACGCCGTCGATCTCGCGAGCACATAGCGTAGCCACGACTGTCTGATGGATAAATCGTCTGTCCCCATCTTGTCTAATAAATCTTTGACCCAGGTTCCCTTTCATATGGTCTATTTCTTTGACCATAAAGCTTTTCGGCAGAAAGTTTTGTTTGAACACATTGATGTCGCTGGTGCTGAATGGCACTCCTAGAAAATCGTCATCTTTAATGTTTTTAGCTGAGGGTGTGCCGACACAGAGCAAGAATAACGGTTTCGAATCTATTCGTACATCTGCGAGAGTATTGGGGTGCGAACTCGCAGGATCTTGTACGTGCCGGTTGCAGCTTCTCCTGTAGTTATGCAGTTGCTGAACAGCTTGATCTTCGGATACCTGATGATGTGTCTCTACTTGAGTTTGCTCAAGACCTGGGCCATAGCGAGAGACCAGGCTGTTAAACCCAAGGGATTTGTAATGATCTTCAAGAGTTGGTGAAATGAATGAATCAATGTGATGTTCAATCTGATCTGCCAGAGCTGAGAAATCTTTTTGCTTCATATTTTCGATTGTGGTTTTTCCAAGACTGGCTGCAAAAAGGACCGCCGCTCCGTTTGATATGGATCGTATGTGGTCCACACGTTTTGATAATCTTTCAGGTCGCCTGCCCACTCCATTTCGACATGCCTTACGAACTTCTCTAGCATTCTTAGTCTCGCGGGGTTCTAAATCAGTCGTTTTCGGTTCAAGTCGATCCCAGGCTTCTTGAGTAGTGATACTAAGTATACGCCTTTTCTTTTGCTGAATATCAAGCTCAACAATATCTGAATCCATTACCGAGAAAGCTTCAAGAGATTCATTAGATGATAATGGACAATGATGGACAATGATGGACAATGATGGATAATACTTAGTAGCTGGACCTAAAGACATCACCTGCATCCCTGTGAACCGCCCGTAGTATCTGCTTTGGTATCTGCTAATCTCAGCTATAGCTGTGCTCCGATCTCCCGCACCCTGTATCTGCTTATGCCTCGCATTCGTAGGGATATGATAGGAACGTGCAGAAGGTCGCATACGCTGCATTCGTACTTTGCTCAAACAAGACTGATTACGTTTCCAAGATTCTTAGTCCAAGTGCTCCGCACAAACGGAATCCAGCTATCTACCTATTGGCTAGCTTTGCGACAAGGGGGTCACCTATCTCCCTATTGGCTAGATTTGCGACAAGGGGGTCACCTATCTCCCTATTGGCTAGATTTG